AAGTAGTGAGACAACTTTGTGCTTTTGTGTATCCCCCGCCAAATGCAGTGCTCTCTACACATTTGCAAAGTTGTAAACAAAATAGTAGCGTGGTAATTTGCCCTTTCTCACCATTCTCCTAGTTTTTTCTTGTTTACTTCGAAAGGTTTTTTTTAAACTAATTGATCTCTATGATGGACTGGAGTGATTATTAGATATTGTATAAGTGAGCACACATTTTTATTACAAGCAACTATCATATTCTGTTCCTGTACTACACACAATATGCTAAGTGCTGTGCAGACCCACAAGGGCACGCAAAAGCAACACCTAGTCCCTGCCCCGAAGAACGTGCCAATACTTTTAGGTTTTGCTTACTGGTACAGCTGATGGGAAAAAATGGGACATAGCTCCCTTAACACTTCTTTACCCAGTTACGTGCCTCCATCCCAATTTAAAAAACAAATTATTGGCCTAATTCCATGACTCGCACTGCCAGCTCCCTACTCTGTTGCCAAAGTCTAGACTTGAGGGATTAAATTTTTCCTGTCTAAGCAGAAATGGAAGGATTAGAAGACACAGTGGAAATGCAGGACATGGTATAAAGAAGCTACTGCATGTATCCAAAGGAGCAGGGTAAAGAGATAGCCAAACTGCACTCCACTGAAGAGAAGTTGCTTGCTACCCAGACTGGTTGCCTTGAGACTCTCTCCCTTCTGGTCATCAGTTCTCTGTCATCATCCCCCTTCCATCCATCCTAATGCATCATCAACATAATAACAGTACTCAAAGCTTTACACATATGGACCTATGGCTCTCCCTTACAAAAACTACTGGACAAAATGATTCTTCCTCAACTAACTCCATATCTAGCTATGAAATGCCAATTCCTGCAAAATCTGCTTCTGTATCTACCCATTTACCTGTTAACAAATATTAGCTATCAATGTATGTAAACTTGGCCTACACAAATTGGAGGATTGGGCCAAAAAAAATCTGATGAGGTTCAACAAGGACAAGTGCAGAGTTTTGCACTTAGGAAGGAAGAATCCCATGCACCGCTACAGGCTGGGGACCGACTGGCTAAGCAGCAGTTCTGCAGAAAAGGACCTGGGGATACAGTGAACGAGAAGCTGGATATGAGTCAGCAGTGTGCCCTTATTGCCAAGAAGGTCAATGGCATATTGGGCTGTATTCATAGGAGCATTGCCAGCAGATCGAGGGAAGTGATTATTCCCCTCTATTCGGCACTGGTGAGGTCACACCTGGAGTATTGCATCTAGTTTTGGTCCCCTCCACTACAGAAGGGATGTGGACAAATTGGAGATAGTCCAGTGGAGGGCAACGAAAATGATTAGGGGGCTGGGGCACATGACTTACGAGGAGAGGCTGAGGGAATTGGGCTTGTTTAGTCTGCAGAAGAGAAGAGTGAGGGGGGGATTTGATAGCAGCCTTCAACTACCTGAAGGGGTGGCGGGGTTCCAAAGAGGATGGCGCTAGGCTGTTCTCGGTGGTGGCAGATGACAGAACAAGGAGCAATGGTCTCAAGTTGCAGTGGGGGAGGTCTAGGCTGGATATTAGGAAACACTATTTCACTAGGAGGGTGGTGAAGCACTGGAATGGGTTACCTAGGGAGGTGGTGGAATCTCTGTCCTTAGAGGTTTTTAAGGGCCCGGCTTGTCAAAGCCTTGGCTGGGATGATTTAGTTGGTATTGGTCCTGCTTTGAGCAGGGGATTGGACTAGATGACCTCCTGAGATCTCTTCCAACCCTAATCTTCTATGATTCTATGATCGTTTGCATTCTTCTGCAGACCCTAAGAAGGGATTTGGGAGGTGCTAGAACAACGTTCCAGTCCAATTCAACTTCCTGCGTCTTTTGTTCTAATATCCTCATAAGATTTTCTATCCCTTAATGCATCAAAATTCAATCCTTTTAATTTTTTAACTTTCTCTGCATTAGGCAGACCCATTCATGGAGCAATCCCTAGTATCTACTACAATAGATATTTTCCTACCAAGGAGCTTAAGAATGTAGATTAGTCTCACTGACTTCAATAGGACAGTTTGTGAGGAAGGACTGCTCATGTAAGTAATGTTTTGCAGGATCAGACCCTAAAGCAGTATTGGTTTGACACTTTCTGATTATCCTCATCCCAGTATTGTATACTACTCTACTTTTAATATAATATTGTGCCCAATTTTTATCTGACAGTGTTTCTTTAAGGCCCTCGGGAACTTCTAAATTCAAACTCTCACTCTGCTTAGAAAGCTCTACTATTCATGAAAACAATAAAAGATTGACGTGAAAGTGAAGAAAAGTGGAATCAGAACCAGAAGTGCTAATGACAAAATGAATATAGATGCATGTAAGGTGATTATATATAAGTTGTACAGGCTACCACATGTTCAGGCAAATGTTTATTTCACTTGGATGGCTATCAGAATCTTCTGCAAGACTGCTTTTTCACATCCATATTAAAAAAAGGTGAAAAGGAAGCAAGGAACCATACCACATTTTCTAGTGCGTAACAAATTTGCCAAAAGAATATGGTCTTCAAAACATGAACAACTTTAAGAAGAAAGACAAAATCTTTAAAAAATTCTGAATGACAAACTTTGAGAAAGGTAGGGACAGATCCCAGCAGGCATAAACTGTCACAGTTCCGTTGACTTCAGTGGAACTATGAGAATATACACCAGCTAAGGATCTGACCCTTTGAATACATAGCATTAGTATATGCAACATGTGGGGTGAATTAGTAAGCAAAGGAAGAGCTACAGAAGGGCACTAAAAAAATGCAGGATGCTTAAAAGAAAATATGTACTGCCATATGTGTGCCATTTGTGTAATGAGTAAAAATGACTTCATAGAGTATTGCTTTAGTCCATGAGTACTCCCAGTGATTTCAGTTGGAATACTTATGGAGTAAGGTACTACTCAATGCAAGCAAGAGTGGCAGCATAGGTCTGAAAATTACTTAGGAAGACAGAGCCATTTGCTTGGGAATATAAAATGTCACTGAACAAGGATATGCAAAACACAAACACAAGGAGTAAGGGGGAAAATGAACTAGGGAGGCAAAAGTAATAACTAAGATGAAAACAGAAATTAATGACAAACAGAAACAAGTGTTTTAAATACATGAGAAAGAAAGTACTAGGCAAGCACTCAGTCCAATTATCAAAGGGTTAGACTGAAAATTTAATGACAGATGTTAATGTTGCTCAAAGCCAATCTTCCCCCCTCCTCTCCCCAGTTTTCATAAAGAACCTAAAGTTTGTGTGTATCTTCAAAACTAGAATATATTTATTGATTATTTATTTTGAATAAGAGAGAAAGGGCACTGGAATTAAATATTAAAAGGTCTACCCCAAGATTTTCAAATTGGGAAGCCAAATGTTAGGTGCCTAAATAAGTGGCTTGATTTTCAGAGATGACGAGCAGCTGCAGCTCCCATTGATTTTAAGGGGAGCTGGTAGGTGCTCAGTCTCTTTCACAGTCTAATTATTCGGGCACCTAAACATGGATTTAGGTGCCTAACATCAGGCATCCAAGTTTAAACATTTTGGCCTTAACTCCTTTTGATGAAAAAAATCAAACTAAACCAAATCAAAACCACCCACTTCCACCTAGGAATAACCTGAAGATATCTTGATCTCTGACCGTTAGGACTAGCACGATGTGCCCCATGCATTCATGACTTCCATGTTTGATTCTGTAACTCATCTCTAGGAAAGAAGCCACATGCCCTCAAAAAACTCCAGCTGACATAAAATACAGCAGTCCTTCTGTTTAGCAACACAGGACCCCATGAACAGATCGCCTCAGTTCTCCACTCCATGCACTTGTACTCTAGCTACCTGAGAGGTTCTCTCTCCTTCCACTTCTATGACCTCACACAAAAGCTACATTCCATTAGATTCTAGAGCAATTAAACTAAGGGATGCTTGTGAGAGCGGGAGACAGAACTTTCACAAGAGCTGGATCCCCTCCCATCCACAAAAGATAACAAAAAACCTAATAATTTTTAGAAATAAATACAAACCCTGTTTATTTGACTTCATAATATTCTTCATTTATTTATTTCTTCATGCCCATGCATTCACACCCATCCACTCACTTCCACAAACCAAAACCAACCTAACAGAAAAATCTACAAACTAATCACACTACTTCTCCTACAGGCTGGAAAGGAAAAAAAAGAGATAGTTATTTCTATATTTAAATACTTGGGAGGTGCTCAGATATCATGCTGATGTGAGGCCATGTATGTGCAGCAGACGCACAAAGTGTGTTTCACTTCTTGTTGGTCTGGCCAACTCCTATTTTGGCTTACATTCTTCACTGCCTGTCCTAAACTACTCTGAGTTTCTGTGCGCTGTTCAACAGCTGCAATATTTTACTCCAAAGCTGGCTGCATATAAAAGTGGATGAAAAAACTATATATAGTCTGTAAACTGCTTTGAGATCCTACTGGACAAAAAGGCACTAAAATAAAATGTACAGAGTCATTATTAAATAATTTCTATGTTCTTAAGTTCATTTCCTTGTCCAACTAGAAGACAGAAAACTACAGTCAAAAACAACCAAACATGATATCAATATCTATGAAAGATTACCTGTTAAAAATCATTGCATCAGACTCATCAGTTTGCCCATTCACATTTAGTGCTGAAAGCGCCCCACCATCTGCAAACTGGTAAAAATTTGCTAACACTAGCTACTAAAAAAATAAAGGACACTTATGATTTCCATAGCTTTGTTGCTGTCTGTCTGTACAGTAAATGTGATATGACATATCATATATAAGAGACTGATAATTATTTAAGTACATTTTAATAAATAACTGAGAAAGTACAAAATATTAATACAGTAGGACCAAGACCTTAACAAAAAGGTTATTCTCATACCCTAGAGCAACATGTAGAATTATCTTTTAAAAAACAAAAACGGCAGAAATGAAACTAGTAAGCACAAAACATTCCAAATAACAGGTGTACAAAACTTTAATTGTCTTACTTGTAGTTTTTCTCCCAGAACTTGACAGGCCTGGCATATGATGTGATAAAAATGACACTACCAAGAAATGGACTCAGTGGTGTAGAGAAGATCGAAGTGGCCAGAGTTTGAAAGAAAAGCATAGCAGAGTCTGAAAAGTTCAAGTTAAGGTAACATGAATGATTTCATCACACTTTTAAATCGTTCTTCAGACAGCTCCTAAGCTATTTGATTTTTATCATTTTTTCCAAGGTGGGGGAGGAAGCTCTGAAGTCACACACAACAGGACTAATTATTAAGATGAGGACTGTAGCTGTTCAAACTTAAATCGTTCTAATAATGAGGGCCACATGTTTAGGTGAACAAGTTGCAGGGCAGAATGGCTGGCAGCAAAGCCACCTCTGTTAGATTTCTGCCAGAGTTTCCCTGTTCCGGGGGTCAAGGTGGGGAGGTTCTCTACCAGCCTTCTCCAGCTGTTTTAATGCCATGTATACAACAGCCTTAGTGGACCAGAGGATCTGGCACAAAGATCTCTTATCCTTAATCACTTTGGGTGAAATCCTGAGCCCACTGAAGTCAATGGGAGTTTTGCAACTGGTATCAATGGGTCAAGCATTTAAACCTGTGTCCCCCCCCCCAAGAGCATGGATATATCATCAAAACTGCTGGTTTGAAATGAGGCTTTCCAACAAGTGGAACTCACGCTAGCTTTCATCAGATATTTATTATCACATACTGATTGCCTAGTAAAAATCTTCTACATACACCTCTACCCCGCTATAACGTGACCCGATATAACACGGGTTCGCCTATAGCACGGTAGCAGCGGGGCTCCGGCGGCGCTTTAAAGGGGCTCCGGCTGCTGCGGGGAGCCCAGGGCCTTTTAAATCACCGCTGGAGCCCTGCCGCCCCTATCCCAGGGCTGCAGCAGCGGGGTTCCGCCGGCGATTTAAAGGGCCTGGGGCTCCCCACAGTGGCCGGAGCCCAGAGCTCTTTAAATCACCACCGGAGCCCTGCCGCCGCTACCCCAATATAAAGGGGTTTCAGCTATAACGCGGTAGGGATTTTTGGCTCCCCACGACAGCGTTATAGCGGGGTAGAGGTGTATCATATTCATTGAACTGTCCACAAAGTGGGAAGAAGAGTGCAGGGGAAGTAACATACGTAAACTTCCTGGTGCATGCATGTATTCATGGTTTACTACTTTAAAAATGATTATTATATTATACATTCTAGATGCGTTGAAAACGAGTCTAGGAAACACAACGAAGAGGTGGATAAATATATAAAGAAAGATGTAACAGCAGCGTGATTTAAAAGACTTGGGAACAAATTCTCATTTTAGTTACACCAGGCCCTTGAATTTCTGGAGAGAACACTACATGCAGCCTGTTGGCATGACAGACTCAATTATCCTGTTTTACACCTTACTCGGGAAAAAATGGTATTTTATAAAGAATCGTACAGCTGCTGGGCAAGTATCAAAGTACTGGGATTATACCACCAATGGTGCCTCTCTGAAACCAGAATTAAGATCCAATCACTCAAGAGCAATAGTCTTTTGATTCAGCCTATTCTAATAATGTCCAGTATATAGATTCTGCAATCTTTGAGAAACTAAAGCTCAATTTGTAATGCATATTTTATTTTAAAACTGAAAAATATTCACATTGCAGTTTTCCCACTAAAAGTCTATTAGCCAAGCTTTCGAAGCAATATGCAGCATTAACGAACAAATATTTAGCAAGAGCGATCATTGAAAATCCTTAAACTTATTAAAAGAGAGTGATCTGGAATGGTGTCTGAGTGTATTAGTGAGTTTGCAAACTGAGCTGCCCTAAGAGGCTAAAAGTTCGAAAACCGTCAGAGAGAACGTACAGAAGGGCAAAAGTTTGTCAGCAAACTTCAATTGTCATATTACACTGGAATCATAACCCATACTGGTTCTGAAAGAGAAAGAATTATTTGCAAGTGTCAAATAAGCTGAGTGATCAGAGGAGCTGAAAAGATGGGAGAAAAACAAGGAGCACAGATAATGACAGTCTTCTAAAGACTGCTTCAAAGTAATTAACATAAAAACAGTCAACATGATGATCTAGGACTTTTGGGATTTCACTGTGAAATGTTTACATTAAATGTACAGCTCAAACAATAGCAACCGTTGGGTTCTCTTCCAGCCAAATGACATAATGATTATATGTCACTTGGAAGACAATTCTCATTTGACTTGTGGAGAGCGGTTTTAATTAAGAGTGTCACATACATAAACAGATCATAGGAGCAGGTAACAGGACCATGCCCTCTTTCTTTAAATTTTGGGATCTTCTGATAATATTTGTATCCTACCATGCTCTAGGTTTTCCAAATTTCAGGACAGGGAATTTGTTTAGTTGCACATACTTTAGCTATTGTAAAGTGTCATGAATATTAATGGAACACGATAAATAATTTTCTAATTAAGTTCATTTCTAAATATTCCTTACCTCACTTTGATGTGTAGTGTGGGTAATTATTTTTGTCTGTGATCAGATACTTTTAACTCAGAGCAACTGACGTATTTTTATTAGGTTCTCTTATGTTTGGTAGCAATGCACTGATTATGTTCAAGTATTATTATGGTACTATGGTATTATAGTACTTTTATTACCATGAATTTAAAAGCTTACTTTCCCATATTATGTTTCAGTTAATTTTCCCTGTGCACCATCTTCTTTATGACTGCTGTATGAGCAGAATTCATCCCTTGGCAGAAGGCACACACAAGACCCTCTATGCTACGGAACATCCACAATATGCCCACATGGGGCAAAGATGGACAAAGCAGATACCAGAGGCTTCCACAAATTCCCACAAAAACCTGCATGGACTTCTTTTAGGGCAGCATGGAAGAGAAGACTAAAACTGGCTAAGGGAGAGGGCAACTGGATCTGAGTTTTGCCAGAACCAGTAGTTGTGAAATCTTACAGAGTGGTCATGGAGCGGTTATTATAAATAGGTTTTCATCTCCGTGCATATATTGAAGGCTGGAATAGAGACTGCTGAGGTGTTGCACTACAGCCCATGATATGTTGGGCTTTGGGTGGATTCCATCTCTTCCAACCCATACACACAACCTGAGTCTTAAAGGCTTTCTTCTGAGATCAGCGCTGGAGTCACAGGTCTCTGGGTGACAGCAATTGGAAAAAGGAGATGGGGCAGATGGGTGCTTTTGGGTTCCTTCTCTGATATCAGTGCAGGAATCACAAGGCAGCAGTGGTGGCACATCTGAAACTGTAATCTGAAATACTAATAATTCTGCTCTTGATCCCACAGCCATTTTATTTACGTAAAGCTCCCACGGACTTCTAACTATATTAATGTCAATAATGAGGTTGGAATTTATGGAGTACAGTCATATTCTCTAGTTTTATGTACAAAGGAAACTAAAACCATTTTAGGCTCTTAAGTCACTTAGATGCTTTTGAAAATTTTACCCTACATTCATTAGTAACTGTTTGCGGGGTTGGCCCTGCTCTACAGCTCTCATACTCCCAACAAATTCACTAAGACTTCCAAAACCAATTTGTTCACTTATAGTTGTTGTATAAATTATATACATAATAAAAGCAGTGAGATGATCGCATTATCTTCACAGGTAATGTTGTTACAATGGTTCATAGCATGGGAGGGAAAGTATTTACTATATTAAGTTATATGGAAAAGGTTCCACAATGCAAATAAAAATGTTAAGAAAGCACTTTTAATATGATGATGGAAATAAGTGTCACTACTGGTCTTCTCGTTTTAAGGGTCAGGACATAGAAAATGGGCAAATTTCAAAATGATTACTGTACACCCCAAACCTGTATACCTTTGAAAACCAAATCCTGCTTACATCAAGCATACAACAAATCCCATTGGTCCTTAGTGTGTTCATTTGAATGCCTCTTTACATATATATACGAGAACATTAAAATAAATGCATGTTATGTTTGGTTTACTGTGTGATCTCTCACTGGGTTTTTTCTGTTTTTTTAAATGAAAGATATTATGTTAATGTAACATTACGATTGGGAATTTACCTGAACATAATGTAGTCAATTCCAAGTTATGGTTCCCAGATCAACTATACTGTAATTTGGCTCTTTTGTGCATATGTAGCATTTTTGCATTATTTTTAATGGGGATGATGCATAAAAGTTAATAGAAAATTCCATGCTTATATACAAAAGGACAGAGTTATTGTTGCTGTGGGAACAGTAACTTTTTCATGTGAATTCTTAACCATAACATTACATTAAGATACTGTTTTGCATTTAACAAGGATATCGTTAACTTAAATAATAGATACCCAGTCTAAATGTACTTCAACAATAACTACATAAATCAACTAAATCCTATTCAGTAACTGCCTTACTTTTGAAAAAAATCCTACTTAGGGATTTTATTAACATTAAAGTTACTGTCACTACAAAATAATTGCATTTGAAGAGAAATCTTGTTAAAGTATAATCTTCAGTTTTTAAATGTTCTGCTAAATAACTTTAAATAAACTTTTTAATTGCAATTCCTAGATAAAAATAGGGACTCAAATTAATACAGAATGTGGATTTTGATGATAGCTCTTGCTACGCCTACTGCTTCAAAATTGGTTGGAGCCAGCTTTACTTTTACTATTAACTTTTGTTAATAATGTGTTTTTGGAATCTTTCCTTTTGAGGGCTATTGTAAGTATGTTTCCAGCTATCCTACGACATTTCATGTCTTAGAACCAAAAGTGGAAAATTTTAAAAGGAGGAAACTTCCCAACCCACTCAGTGGAAAATGTGTATAAAAGAAAATCAAAGTCAGACTACAATTAAGATGGGAAAAATTTTGAAGGATGCAACAGGGAAAAACCAGATGAAGCAAATCCCTGCATTCAGGCATTAGCCAGGGCTAGCTGTTAAAAGGATGCTCAGGACCCCATAAGAACAGCATTCTAAAGAAGACAGTCCACCTAAGATGGAGGAATTGTACTGAGAATACTTTTTCTAAACAAGACACGCTAAGTTTTATGCTGGGATGAGAGAGAACATTATAAGAAAAGAGAATTAGCTGAATATGAACGGGGAAGAAGGAAATAGCGTTAAACATCCTGGTCCAAATTCTGCTCAATTCCCCAGTTGCAATTCCTAATGCAGTCAATAGCTGAATCCAAATAACAGAGAAAAACTGGGTCCCCTCTGTCTAAAGAGACATTATTAGAAGTAACATGGTATCCCAGAATCAGTGTAAAATATTTTCAGTTTTTTATTAAATGTAATTAATTATTAAATGTTACTCTCTTTGTTCAAACCCTGTACATACATGAACAGTGAAATTGGGAGTAAACAAAAAACAAAAAATCTGTAAAGGATATGAGGTATTGAGAAGAGCTGAGCAAACACGTGAAATGAAGATCCCCACGCAATCTGCCAGGGAGCAATGTATGTCATAACAAACTGTAATTTTTGCAGTAGGTCCCACAGCTGAAAACAAGAGAAAGAAAAAAATATGACATTTATAGGTATCAAGGTAATTTCAACAGTAAAATTTTAAAATTCTAAATCCTTTACAATTGTGCATTGTCTGGTAACTGTACTGGAATGAATGAAATTCAGTTTCTATTGTGCTACTTTGTTCACTCATATTAAGGTCCTGGTTCAGGACGATGCTAAGGCATGTATTTAACTTTAAGTATGATTAGTCTCATTAACTTCTCAAGTGTTTAAATTTAGATACATGCTTAAGTACCTAGCTGAACTGGGGCCTAAGTGATTTTCTTTTAAAAGCATTTGTGGTCAAAGAGGGAGTAAAATTGTACTGTTATGTGCTAACTTGGTTATCTTGCTAACTTGTACTATTATCCATTAACTTCTATGATATTCTTTTAGCACCACCAGGGAAAATTGAAGAATAGGCACATAGACAGCTGAAGAATAGGCATGTTTCTGCTAGCAGAGATTCCCTTATTAAATTGGGGCCTCTTGGATCTAATCTATATGCAGCCTAATCATCGTAAATCCTCTGAGATTTGTCTCTATCAATTTCCTTTCAGGTCTTCAGCTGTTCTGGTCAGAGAAACAAAAAACACATTCTATTAAATAATACTTCTTAAGATGTTCTAACATATTCATTTAAAAAGCCAGAGAAAAATATGTTGTTCTTTTTACTGTGCATGACAATATGGTAGAAAAGGTTAGAGATAACTATGTTGGGAATAACAGTGAATCTGTAACAGGTGTTCAGTAGAGAAAACTGGAACGCTTCATACAATGCACCACACAGCCGGGACAGGATGGCAAAGAACATTGGTTTTGACTTTTGTAAAATGTACATGGCTCGCTCCCTACTCAAGAACAACACCTTTATTTACTGAAGTGGTAGGTTTTTACCCCCAACTCCCTCTGCAAAGGCCCGGAGCAGAAATTTTGTGCTGACTAGACGGGGTCATCAACAGACTCCTATTGCAGTGTTGTCACCTGACAAATTATGACAAGCTTTGGCCTTCAACCAGAGTTGGTATGAAGCTCACATGCACTGTACAAGAAAACGAAACAGGAGTGTATGCAACGCTTCATAACATTGTAGCAACACATCCTGAACAAGCATTTTGTACCTACTACTTATTTTGACTGGTGAAATGAAAAAACAAGACATTTTAGGCCTCCCAATAAAAGCCTGAAGGACACAGAGGCTATGACTTCACTGCAGAGCTAATTCAAGTTATCTACACATGAGTTACTTCTCTTGAGTTAGCCTAGCTCAAGTGAGAGCATTCACCCTGCAAAATAATACTTGATCTGCTGTGTCCACGCTGGCGCTGCACTCATTTATGTGTGGCACTAAGACTTGTGGAGGCATATCCCATTGTTTCTTGCTGCTGCAGCAAGCTGAACCACTCTAATGAATTCTTTTTCAATGAGGAAGTGGAAGAACTTGTCTTTCCTTTGCGGGCACACAGGCGGAACTGTCGGAATGCAATAGAGGACTAGTGGCACTCAAGTGGAGTTACCCTGCATCCACACTTCAGGGTGGTTGTGTTAGCAGCTGATGAGTTGTCTAAACTGAGCTATAGCCTATTCCCCCTGACAGGCCAGTCAACTCAAGATAAAAGCAACACCCCATGCTTTTTGTGTGTGCGTGGTGGGGGATGGGACTCGAGGTAGCAGCAACACTCAAACTATTTTTGCTATAAAGACAAGTCCAGACATCATTTGAAAAACCAGAACAGTCCTGGTAAAATCAGGTTGTATGGTCTCTCTAAAACAAACCTTCATTACCCTCCCCCAAATTTCTGTTGTGGGGTTTGTTAGTTTGTTTGTTTTGGTACATTAGAAATTCAGGTCTTGTCTACCTTGTTTCCTCTGTAAGACACTACTACACTTTGGAAGGACAAATCAAATACACAACTACAAAATGGGGAATAATGGGTTAAGTGGTAGTATTAACAAAAAGGAGCTGCGTGTTGTGGTGAATCAGAAATTGAATATGACTCAAAAATATGATGCAGTTGCTAAAAAGGCTAATATCATTCTAGGAGTTAACAACAAGAGTGTCATATATAAGACCTGGGAAGTAACTGTCCCACTCTATTTGCCATCGGTGAGTCCTCAGGTGGAGTGTGTCCAATTCTGGGTGCCACACTTTAGGAAAGATGTGGCGAAATCGGAGAGAGTCCAACGGAGAACAACAAAAGTGAAGGATTTAGAAAACCTGACCTATAAGGAAAGGTTAAAAAAATTGGCATGTTTAGCCTTGAGAAAAGAAGACTGAGAGGGATCTGATAACAGTCTTCAAATATATTAAAGATTATATAAAAAGGACAGTGACCAATTATTCTCCACGTCCACTGAAGATAGGACAAGTAGTAATGGGCTTAATCTGCAGCAATCTCTAGAACAGGCTTCTAAGGCAGGTTGTGGACTCTCCATTGTGACAAATACAGCAATTTCCTGCAATAATTTTGGAAAATGTTGTTGAATTAAGTTTAAATAGCTTTGGAGTCTATTGTATTATAAAGGCAAAGTTTATGAATTATAGTTATTTTTTAGATGTAGCTTCTCCAGGGCATGGAGATGTGGCCAGTGTAAACCCTGGGAAGCACTATGAGTTTCAAAGAACTACTTTAAACAATGTGTCAGACAAGAAGGAACTTTCAGGACAAACAAAATAAAGTGGGTTTCTTGGGAAATACCTGGTGGTGGGGTGGGGAATACAAATTCCCACCTCCGGACCCAATCTTTTGATGCTACACCCTGAAGAGAGAACCACTGGTTGGATGATTATTTATTCACAGTATCTGCAGATCAAAGACACAGACTGTACAAAAGAAAGGGTAACCCATGCATACGTGTTCTTGTTCTGAGCAAAAGCTCTTATGAACTTGTGACCACAGAAAAACTCCTTGGTGGGGTTTGAAGGAATGAATCCCGCCAGAGCCCTTGTTGGAGTTGGGGGTGATCTCTGGTAAGCCTATTAGCATGTGTATAAGTTCTTTTATAGTTTTTAATATGTTTTCTCTATAACACTTTCACCTTAAGAATAAATGTGCTTGCTTAGAAAGGGCCGTGTGATAGCTTATAACTGTGGGTAATTATGTTGTTCATGGCCTTCAAAGAGTAGGGAAAGCACAGACACTGGCTTGGTTAGGCCACCTGGCTTGTTGGGGAACTCACAGTGTAGGCAGGGAACTCTGAAGCCTGGAAAAATCCCGATCAGGAGGGAATGAGACATGGGTCTCCACCCAAGAGAGGTGACGGCTGAGGAGCTGGAAGCCTAGAGTAGATGCCCTTGCTGAACCACAAGGGGGAAATACAGGTGCAGTAGCCCTGAACTGTATCACCCATTTCTGGAGGACAGATTGGACAAACACCTGTCAGGGATCATTTAGGTTTACTTGGTCCTACCTCATTGCAGGGGGCTAGAGGTCTCTTCTAGTCCTACATTTCTATGATTTTATGACTTTGACTGGAGGACTATGGCATTAAGTATGGCATGGAAGTGAAACCTGATTGAGAGTAGAGCAGACTTTTATTCAGGCTGTTTAATCCTCTGGGTTTTTTGTTTGTTTTGTTTAACAACTATATATCTGAAATGCTTGACTGAACAGCTGGGGGGGAGGGGGATCTATCTTTTCTTAAAAGCTAACAACTCTCATTTGAGACCTTCAAAAACTCGAAGTGAAACTATGGTAAAAAACACAAAGGTCTGCCTGTTTCATACTGAAAATCACAAGCCCACAAATCAGCCCAAATGCACTCAAAATGCAGTCAACGTTCACCAAATGCTTCTCAAATGTCAGCAAACATAGTTCAAGTTTTGGGTTGTAATAAAACCTAAACTAGGGGGAGCCTTTTCTGGTTTTGTGTTTCATTCGTTTTATGAATCACTAATATCTACACCGTTTTCCAAAATAGAAGGGACTCAGTAGGTCTTGGCTCTCTGCTGCCTGTCACCCACAACCTCCACTGCTACTTCTGACAGAAGGAGAAAGGATGCTCTCTCCATCCAACCAGTTCATAAGCTGAATGCCCTCTTCCTCCAGAAGAGGAGGACAAATCAAAAAGAGCTGCTCTCCCCACTGGCCATTTCCTGAACTTTCTGCTATTTGCCATCACACAACTAATGATTCTTAGAGATGGGTGGTGGAGTGTGTTACCAATTTCAAAAAAATTATACGTAAAAAGGGAAATTCTAGTGAGTTTTCTTATTCTGCAGAACCCCTTAATGATGATGTGGCCTCTAGCACTTTTCATAATCTGACAATATTTGCCAGAGGAGTTGTCACCTTCATTCATTAAGCAACCACAATATAAAGAATCAGGAGCTAAAGAGTTTCCTTTGCCAGATCAACCTGAACAGGTTTTATTCATCACTTGTTTCACCTAGATCAGAAATTATACTGAATACATTCTTCTATGCCTAGCTTGAGAACTCAAAGGATTTACACAGTAATATTATTTTTGCTTCAGAAAGATACTGAAGCAGCTAAAATTTGCCTCTCCAAACACAATCCTCAACCACACAAGCAATATCATTGACTTCTACTGGTAACACTCATATATCAATCTTTAATTAAAGATAAGGTGCTGCCACTTTAAAAGAAAAGGTTAAAATGTTTGTAAATGACCAGAAATATATAAACTTATACTTGCTAAAGCTTTCCTTTTACTTTGGCTGGGAAAGATGGTAATTAACTTGCTCTTGATATGTTTACGGTAATATTAGATCACAAGAATGAAGTCTCCTATCTGTTGTGAAAGCTTTTTTTTTTTTTTTTTTAAATAATCCTATGCTGAATTTTTGCCAATAAGCAGAAGAAGTTCCATGACCTCTCCCTTGGAGCTGCATAAAGGATGGAGGTTCTAATTCAGACTACCTCTATCCCAATATGGGGTGGGTTATCAAAGCGTATTCTTATTATAACATTTCTTTAAATCTTGAGTGTTTTGTACAGTTCACTAAGCAGAGGAATGAAATATTATTT